TTCAGAAAAATATCAAGTGACCATGTCCAACATATGACATCTTTTCTACTTCAATTGTTAAGCAAATTATGGTCATTTAGTGTGATGTCACATGACTGCAACTTGCGACTTATTGCTGGAAGTAAGCAATATATTTTGTTGGAAGCCAATTGTGAAGGTCATAAATGGCAATCATTTAATAAACAGTAAACAATATGACCGCAGGATACTGTGATAATTGTAAATCAAGTTAGTTTCAAAGTGCCTGAATTGCGCTCATGCGACCTCAGGATGCTTGTGATGGCCATAAATGTGATCATCAGTCATAAATCTTTTTCAACATTATTGAAAAAGTTTGAATATTTGCTGAATGAGACAATTGGTGAGTACTACCTGTATCATTTGGCCTCTTCCTGGTTTCATATTTTTGACTCTAGTTGTAGAGACAATTCATTGAGAGTTAAAGGTAGCCCTCGACTTATGACCACAATTGAGCCCAAAATGTATGTTGCTAAGTGAGAAATGTGTTAAGTGAGTTTTCCCCTTAACATACCCCTTAGGGTATCAGAATTCATGAATTTTATATATCCTTTCTATTTTGAAAATGCTTGTGATATTAGCTACCTGTGTTCTTTAAAGATTTGTCATGTTGAGTTGTTCATTGTGGTTTGCTGAGTGTCCAGCTGAAAAATAGACCAGTGAAAAATACGATAAAAATGCTATTGTAATCTCTGCTTAATACTCTGTTTAATTCCTTCATTTCTTCATAATGAGTTCAGAAATGAATTCATAATACTGCATTTGTTTTTTAACCTTAAAACATGTCCTGAAATCTTTGAAGAAAGGTAGTAAAGATGATTTACATGAAAATACATGCATTCTTGCAGCTACTGATCCACAAATCACACAACCTGTCACTCAGAATGTAGACTGCATTGCTGCTTATACGATGTTCTAGTGTTGTTGGAGACTGAGAAGCTGTTGTTCACCTTGTTAAACTTCAAGCGTATCCCGCTACCACGAAATATTGTTTTCCTCTGTTGCCTTATGTTAAGGAATTGGAATTCACCTTCTCCCGTTCATTCCAAGCAGAGTTGATTAAATGGTTTTGTCAGAGGCACACAAGGACTGTTATAATCTTAAACCCAGGAAAAGTGGGTCAATATTTCTGGAGAATCCGCCTTTTGAATTATGAATAATAGCAACCAAATGTGTGATATTAAACAATATTAAGGTTCTTTCATTATTAATTGCTGAATACAATGTACTCATACACCAGACTATTCCTTTTCATGTAGGTTCTCAACCAAATTATACAGATTCTTGGCTGGCAGCATAATACTCTCAGCATACAGAAGTTCTCATACATGCCATTAATGAGTATACCACAACTGTTGCATTCATATGTATGCATAAATATACTCAACTGCCAGGATAATTCACTTGTCTTATTCCCTAGACACAATATAGAATTGTGTTGTATCTTTTATTTGCAAAAGGACAGACTTGCAACAGAATAGACTGTACCCAATATTTTATTGGTATTTAGGGAATTTTCAAGATTAGTTTTAAAATGAATTTTACATGTTTAGATAATAAATTTAGAATGTTACTATCATTAGTTCAAGGCTAAATAATACTAGTAACAATTATATCTATCATTTTACATTTTATACTTGGATAACATTAGATTAGGAAGACAAGTTAAAATAGGGAAGAAAATGGTAATCTGTCTGCCCTAGATGAGTTCAAATCAACAGGATCAGATGGATTACACCCCAAGGTTCTGAAGGTACTAGCAGATGAGATCTCAGAACCACTGAACTATATCTTCCAAAGGTCCTGGAGCACCTTGGAATTGGCAGAGGACTGGAAAAGAGCTGATGTAGTTCCCATTTTCAAAAAAGGAAACAAAAAATAGATCCAGGAAACTACCTATCAGCCTGACCTCAGTAGTAGGGAAGATGCTGGAAAAGATAATCAAGTAACGAATCAGCGAATACCTAGAAGCAAACAAAGTAATAACCAAAAGCTAACATGGGTTTGTCAAAACAGATCATGCCAGACTAATCTTATTGCTTTCTTTGATAAAGTGACAAAATTAATGAACAAGAGGAATGCTTTCTATATAATTTACTTGAACTTCAGTAAGGCATTTCATAAGGTAGACCATAACCTACTACTAGATAAAATAGAAAAATGTGGGTTAGAAAGCACCACCACCAGATGGATTCATAACTGGCTGACCAACCGCACTCAATGTGTAGTCTTCAATGGAACTGCATCTACATGGAGAGAAGTATGTAGGCTCTGTTTTAGGTCCAGTACTCTTCAACACTTGACTTTCGGAGACCAAACCCCCACTGTAGGGAGGAGGAACCGATTAGGTGGTTCCACCCCAGGCGTCTTATGGATCCCCAGGGTTTCCAGACAGCGCTTGGCGTTATGCCTAATACTCTCACCCGCAGTTCGGTGGAGCCCTTAGTCAGTACTTGGAACTCGGTAGCGCCTGAAGCTCTCCACCGAATTGCGCTTTACGGCCGATCCACGGCAGTGGATCCAGGAGGGCTCCTTGGTTTACCGAGGACCTCGGGGAGATGAAGCGCCAAAAGAGACGCCTAGAGCGCCGCTGGAGGACCAGTAAATCCGAGTCAGACCGAGCACTCTTAAAAGCCTGCATCGGAGCATATCTATCGGCATTACGGACAGCCAAGAACAACCACATTGCCGCTCTGATTGCGTCCGCTGAGTCCCCCCCTGCCGCCTTGTTTAGGGTGACCCGCTCCCTCTTAAACACGAG